GCTTGGTCAGCGGCGCGCGCTCGGCGCCCCCCAGCCCCACGCGCGCCGGGCGGGCGCCATGGAGGAGGGCTCCAGCTCGCCGGTGTCCCCCGTGGACAGTCTGGGCACCAGCGAGGAGGAGCTGGAGCGGCAGCCCAAGCGCTTCGGCCGGAAGCGGCGCTACAGCAAGAAGTCGAGCGAAGATGGCAGCCCGACCCCCGGCAAGCGCGGCAAGAAGGGCAGCCCGAGCGCGCAGTCCTTCGAGGAGCTGCAGAGCCAGCGCATCCTGGCCAACGTGCGCGAGCGCCAGCGCACCCAGTCGCTCAACGAGGCCTTCGCCGCGCTGCGCAAGATCATCCCCACGCTGCCCTCGGACAAGCTCAGCAAGATCCAGACGCTCAAGCTGGCCGCCAGGTACATAGACTTCCTCTACCAAGTCCTGCAGAGCGACGAGATGGACAGTAAGATGACCAGCTGCAGCTACGTGGCCCACGAGCGCCTCAGCTACGCCTTCTCCGTGTGGCGCATGGAGGGCGCGTGGTCCATGTCCGCCTCCCACTAGCGCCGCGCCATCTGCCTCCGGACCCGCGCGCCAGGGTAGGTGCAGCGCGCGACGGGTGCCCCCCACCGAGAGGGCGGGCGGGCTGCCGGGGCCGCTGGGTGACAGGGGCTGCGCGCCCCTCCTCGGGGAGCTCCCACCAGGCCACGCGCTTGGATGGGGAGAACTTTTCGCTTCTAGGAGAGGATAGCAGGAGACGGGAACCCCAGGGGCATCCTGTGGCCTGTTCCTAGGGTATCCGTTTGGGAACCCCAGGGGCTCCTCCCGAAGGGTCTGAATGCACTTCTCCTAGGAGTGGTCATACTTTCCCATTCTTGGTGGATGGGTGTCTGTGGTGACGGTGTGAGGAAGCAGCTATCAGAATATCTTCCTGAGGCTGACCGGGTCTCCAGATGTGATCCTGGATGGATTGTGGCGGACTTGTCGCTTAGCGCTCATTCTGGGGAGCCGCAGAGCCCGCGCGTGGTACAGACACTCAGATCTTCCAGGCTGAGCCTGGAGGGAGTCCCAGCCGCCGCCTTGGTTGCTGTAGCTTTGGAGCGATGGCCGACCTAATAGGTAGAGAGATGCCAGCTGGTGGTGGTGCCTGGGTTTACCTGGGGAGGCGGAGGCGGTCATTTTCCTGCGCTGGGGCTCCTGGGTCTGAGCCGCGAGGAGCAGGCAGATCCCAGCTCTCGGTGAGCGCAGGAGACGCTGCCAACCCCAAGGTGCCTGGGCAGGCGGATGCAGCAGCTTGGAGACCCTGGCGGCAGGCAGGCAGGTGGCTGAGATCTAGACTTGGTGCCTATGGTACTAGCCTTGAACCTGGAAAGCCTCAGCCCTAGGGGCCCCTATGGCGCTGGGGAGGTTGGGCCCTCCAGGCGAGTGTGAGGAATCCCGGGTTGGGAAACTGGTCTGCAAGGAAGAGAAGTGGTGTGCCTGTGTCTGGGCCCTGCTAGGGAGAAGGCACCCTGAGCCCTGGAAGGTATTTTTCTCTGAAGAGCGTTTGGGGCATCCTGCACTAGCTCCCATTCAAAAGACACCTTCCAAGTTCCCAGACAGGGTCCGGCTGTGGAGGCGAGGCCTTCGAAGGGCACAAGATTATTTGGAGAAGGGCATTATAGAAAATCCTTCCTATTTACTATGTCTTAGTTTTTTCACACATCTTTTGATTTTCTTAAAGAAATGAAAGTCTCCACACGGAAGGAAGTTAGATCAATCAAGATCAGAGTGACCACCGATTGTCCAAGCCTACCCACTTTTATCAGTGTGAGATCTCTATGGCGGCTGCTGCTGTGGCTGCAAACAGTGGATCTGCCATGGGCTTATTTCTTTAAAAAAATCTTTTATTTATGTGTCACTGAAAATTCTTTTGATGACATAAAAACCTAGGGTAATGACCATTTTATAGTTTTAAAGAAGATTTTTCAACAGGGAATAACTTGTGGGAATCTTTCCTCATGTTTGTCAAAAACAGATGGAAATCGTCTCAATCACGTATTTCTCTAGGAAAGAAAGTTTAAGTTGGCTGAGTGCTCTAGCTACAGAGGGATAATACATTAATTCTGTTTTTCACTGCCTAAATTATGGGCGTCCATTACTTAACTTCCATTTACCCTTCATACCACCACGGTTTACAGCTCGGCTGAGGAAAGACAGGCAGATGAGAAACGCCATATTTTTTATACACACACACATATAATTTGTTTAGGGAACATATCAACAGAAGTATCCTTAAGACAGCCCTTCAGAAAATAAAGCAAACACCAGGAGATATTACCCTGATGTGACAATTTAGTAGGAGCATTTCAAATTCATTTGAGAACAATTGCATTCTTTAAAACTTGGGACTCTGTCATATATCACAATAGAATATTTGCATTTTAAAATCCAAAATTCAGTATCTGTAATAAATGAACGATGTTAAGAGCTTGTTTGGAAAAAAATGCCTTAAACGATCAGATAACATACTGAGTTGGAAGGCAATAATCTAGACGTAGGCCTGTTCACTTTTATATAATTGAATTCAACGGCTAGTCAGGTAAACCCGCGTCAGCGTACACAGTTGACTCTCCTCGAAAAGGAAAGATACCCGTCCTCGATGTACAAATAATCCTGGGCCTGCTATGAACTGATTAATCAGACTTGTTAGAAAACACCTTTGTATTCTCTTTGACTTTAACCCATTCCTCTCTATGAGCATAAATAAAGCCCTAATTAATTTCTTGGAAATGTTGCTAAATGCAATCAGCTATTTCTTTGTAACATGTCCAAGGAGCGTTAATTACACGCCTCTGCAAAACTATCTAGACCTTGCAGTAAATTGTATATGCTTTCAGTATCTATTGTGAGGTTTTGTTTTGTTTTTTCATGTATGAAAAAGTGATGTGTAGACTAACAGCGAGGACCACAGGAAGTCTACAGTCCCCTGGCTGGTGAGGCAAACTCAAGGCCCTGCAGATTCTGGCTCATGTTAATGTTTAGCCTGTTCTTTCTTGGTCTAGTGTTCAAAAACTCTCCCAGACTAAATGTCAGGTGTCTCCCAAGTCAGCTGGACTCACCAAACTGAAAAACATCTCAGAAGGACTGAGTATTTGTGTGATGAGCAGGGTCTCGACAGGGTCACTGTCACCTGGGGAGGGGCGGGGAAGGCAGGCATCACTCTTTTATCCTCCTTCCTGGTTAAAGGAAGTCTCTTCTCCGACTTCTGCTGACTCTGCGCTGTTGAGCAGTAGGTTCCCATCCTCAACAAGCCCGCCCCCACCTCTGTTTTAATTCCTTTGGAGAGAGCGCCTGGCCCCTCACCATCCAATACACATCAGCCTCTCCTCTCCCCCGAAAACCTGCTTCACCGGGTGTTTGCTGATCGCTATATTTGGGGTGCTAGCTGGTCTTAAAAGAAAATTCTCCCTAGAGAGGAGGACAAATCTAGGCAGGGCTTTGTTACCTGAAGTTCAAGTGAAGTTTTCTTACAAAGTTCTGCAGTGAGATCTGTCTGAGGGAGCCGGCCTCCATGTTCGTTATTGTCCTCTTAAAGCTCGGCAGTGATCTCCCAGCCTTCTCTCTGGCTAGAGTGGGGCTGGAGGGTTGGGACCTCAGGACTGGACAGTGGGGGTCATTTGAAATGCAGTCTTTTACTGAGGTTTTCTGAAAATACCTATTTTCAAGCAAGTCATAAGCCTGTAAGTACTGAGTTCTCAGCAGCCTTGCTTGCCTGTGTCTGGAATAGAAGCACAGAGGCAGGACTGCCTTTGCCTGGCAAAGAGATCATAAAGTTCACCCTTTGTACTAGGGCACTATAACTCATAACTGGAGTTTAAATCTGGGCTTCTAAAAAACAAATATCTTACTAAGCCAATCTTAACGGATGAGCTTTTGTGACAGTTTTTCAGCTTAGGACTTGCATCAGTCTATTCTTGCTGGTGTATTTTAGAACTCTGTGAATGGGGCTGGAATGTCTGTGTATATTTGTGTCTTTTCTCGAGAAAGGACAAGCGAGTGCAAAGCTCTCCAGCAGCAATGAGTTCATGAAGGCGGCTGTAAAATTCAAAGAGATGGATAAGTTACTGTAGCCAAAAAACAGAGCCGTAATTACAGAAGGAACAGGGTCTGAGAGACACACATGGCCGTTTCCAAAAGGGAAGCCAAGATGGAACGCAAAAGTCAGGAACAGCTTAAAAAAATGTTGTGCATGGTCACCTGAGCCTACACATGTGATAACATTGCACCACACTGGACACGCATGCACACACGTGCACACACACACACGTGCACGAGCGCAAACACACGCACGCATGCATGCACATAGCACTCCAGCATAAGAAGGGGTAAAGCAGTAACATCTGATGAAGGTGTAGGCTCTGCCAGTCAGTCTCCTGACCGTGACAATGTTCTTTAGTGTGGGACGATGTTGTTCTTGTGGAAATGAGTGAAAGGTTAAGGGTACATTATTTATTAAAACTTCATGGAGACTTACAGTTGAATTAAAAAATATTTATTGGCATACTTTATACACAATGGGTTTCATAAAAACATTTTCTTTCAAGTAAAATATGTATTTTGACCATACTCACTCCCATAACTTCCCACCTCTCCCAATTCTTCCTCCTAGTTAAAAAATTTAAGAACATATTTCATAAAATTAAGTCTCTGCATTTAAATGGGAAAACTTCATAAGAAATTATTGCCATACTTTATCTCTGAGTAGTAGACTAAAAAGCTGCCTTATGAAAAATCCACACTTTATCCTGATTTGCCATGTTCTACATATGTTTAGAATCTGGGGTCTCGATACAGTTTCAACAGATCATTAATTAGAAGTTCCTTACCAATCTCAAGCAGAGTAGCATCCCAGAACTGGGAAAGAAGGAACCCCAATTCTAATAGAAATCTAATAGAGGAAGCTCTTCTCAAAAAGGTGTGCAGAGATTTTGACCTGAAGGGGATATATATTTATGTCTTAGGATATTAAGTATATATTGATGTTCATCAAATATATATGATTCTAAAGCCAATTATTTATAAGAACCATTCACCAAGTAGTATAAAGATTGAAGTTTTAGAGTTTATGTGTGTATGAGAGAGAAAGAGGAATGAAGAGAGAGATATTCAAATTTTGAACTTTGTTTCTAGAACATATTTTGTGATTCAGTTAAGCAGCAAGCCGTCATATGCCATTTAGTTATGTTAAACCGAGGCCTAATTGAGTGTTATTTTGGGTGAGAACATGATGTTATGTAATTTTCCCATTGATGTAAACTGAGGCACAGTAGGACTTTTTTCTTCAGTGATTATTAGTGGTTGTCACATCAAAGGGAAACTTGAATCTGAAGCTGGAGAGACCAGCACATACTATTTCACCCTAAAAGAAACCTTGAGTGGTTTCTTGAGAACAGAGTTTTGAACAGTGTCTGACCTGCTTCGAACACTTTTATTATGGTTCCCTAACTCTTGGTCAGAGTGTTGCCCAGGTCCTATGATTACAAGTGAGACAAGACTGAGAGCTGAGGCCGTGGGTCTGTGGAGCTGCTTGGGGCCCGGCCTCACATCTTCCTGTTAC